ATTTTAAGACACTTGAGAAATAAATTTTAAAAATTGGTAAATAATCCCTACAAAACTGAAAAAGAATAGAGACCTAGAAGGGAGCATCAGTTATACAACAGGAAATTGTTGTTTGAGCAGAAACAGTGGAAAAGTCAGCACAACTTGTTTACATTAGGCTTGAAATGATGTCAGCTCTTCTATGTTCTTGACAGCACATGCCTAGTTCAGTCATTCAGAAAGGTGTTTATATGCTTCGAGTTATCCCCCATTACATTTTTATTCCCCCAATAATAATGATATAATAATAGTAATATTTGGAAATGTGATACATTTATTAGCTTTTTTGCTTTCTTTTTGTGAAATGCCTTTTCCATCTTTCTTTCTTTCTTCCTTTCTGTTTTGTGTACTAGGATTTAAACACAGGACCTCACACTTGCCAGGCAGGCACTGTGATGCTGAGCTACACCCCTGGCCCCATCCACACCATTTCAAACATTAAGTTTTCTTGCATTTGCTCATTGCTTTGGAGGGAGAACCGCAGAAAACACAGTCTTCTCAAACACATATTGAAACATTAAAAAAGGTGGCTATATAGTCATGAAGCAGATCTCAAAGAATCTCACAGAGATTAGAATATACAGGGACTCTTATCTCAACAGTATGTAAATGTCTTAAGAATTAATATAAAAAGATAATCTCCTCAACATGTTTGTAATAACGTAGACTACAGTTATCTATAATCAAAAACAGTATTACAACAGATATTAAATGGTTCTTCAATGATACTAAATTATACTTGTATAAAGTAGAATAATGAGATTGTGATGAAATAGAACATTGCAAAGCGTACAAAATCCCACAATCAAAGAAACAGAATGATGTGCAACAGCAAAATAATAGAGAACATCAAAATTGCTTGATTATCTCCGAAAGCTAATCTGAAGAAATAAGCTTTAATACCTGTGGAAAGAGTCTTTCATATCATGAAAAACACCAAAAAAAGATAAACAGATGATTCTATCCTGTATATACATACAAAATTTCTCATAGATAACATGGTTGTTCTTCTGTCT